CCTTTTTACTAGAGACAAACTAAATTCAGTGTAAATAAATTGATATACTAAGCTCATTTTTGTACCTGCTTTCAAATAATGTAATTCGTTATATTGATTAATCTTGAACCTTCTCCATGAAATTCATGCCTATATCTAACGACGAAATTCTAAACTCAGATCAAATTTTAATAACATATGTACGACATAAGTATCAATTATATCACACGGGATTAGTTGTAGTTTTTTCTTTCAAAGATTATAGTTAACGAAACTTAGATTAAAAACTAAATAATTAATTTCCTTCAGGGCATTCAACTAAGCCTTTTGAATTTACGATGTTTACACCATAGAGATTGGAAAATGCCACATTGAATGCCGAAAAGTGTTGGTCGTACCATAGAATGATACCAGGTAACTCATTTGCATGTGAAGATATCAATATTACAATCTACAGTGACATAAACTAACATTACAAATGTAGTAAAACATTCACCATCCTAGATGTCCATTTTCTCAAATTTTGATAAGCTAATTGTTAATACACATACATTTTGTCCATCATGAATTCCTTATCGAGTGCTCACCTGAGAGCTCAAACTCAGCTCACGCATATTGAGTACATTCATAAAAATGTAAAAAATCATGAAGTACAAAAGCTAAGAAAAAACAGAACAGGAGTTGTGTTGGCATTTTTTTTTAAAAAAAGGATGTTGAAAAAAAAATCAACTAACTTTTCAAAAATGGTAGTTTACTGAGCCAATTACTAATCCTTCAAGTCCTCCCACAGCCAATTACTGATCATTCAAGTACAATAGATAACTACCTAATCATCATGAACAACTCAATGCCACCATTACAATTGCAAGCCACTAAAGAGGAGATGCAATGCAATCTGTAGAAGAAATTAATAATGTCACTTCATAAAACTCAACACCCAGAAATCCAAGTACAAAATCGATGATATGCTAATGCATACTATCAAGGGTGAGGCCAAATCATACAATTATTCTAGTTGTGAAGCAGAACTATAAACATTTAACCCCAAACTATTTTTTACTGAAAGCCATATTGCCACAGATTCACAACATAGAACCCCATTATTAGAAGTTGATAACTGGAAAGGTTAAACTTGAAACTGGATTATAGGCATAAAACACTAAAAACAGTACCACTAAACAATTATGTTACTACCAATATATTGACAGGCATAACCACATTTCATAAATTTGATGACAACTACCAGCAATGGTCCTAAACACTGCTTAAAAAGAAATGTGAAAATCAGAATCTAGTTGTCCCCTTAAAAGAGCACCAAACTTGAGTTTTAAACAAAAAGTATAGTATATCTAAATATATAAGAGGATGAGACTTCCAACAACATCCAAGCATTGACTAAGCTTTGAAATGTAGAAGGATAAATACAATTCAATTATGTGTTTTTATCTTTTCCACCTTTATATTAAGGATCTTGATTACTCTCTTAAAACATCAGCCACCAAAAATTCATTACGTTTGCCATGACGTGATGACAACAAAATAAGAAACTTCTATTTCTATTCTTCTTTAAATCCAAAAATTAGATTTTGATACCTTTTTTTATATTTTTTTATAATTTTTTTTTATTATAATTATAAATCTATACACACACCCCCCATCCAGTTTTCTGTTGGGTGGTAGTAGACACATTTTCAGCTCTCTTTGGCATATTAATTTCCTTCTTTGGCTGAAAAAAGAAAACAAACTTCCACATTTAGTTATATAGATTATATACATATAATAAGATTTATTAATTCCAGTTTCGGTATGAACAAGAATGGCGGCGTGATGAAACAGATGTGTAAATGTCAAGATGTTTATTGATGTATAGTTTTTCCAATTCAAGGGTGTTTTTGTATATAGTAGAACTTAGTAGACTATACTGTAAATACGAAGGGGCATTCCAAACTTTTAGCATAGGAAATAAGTCGGCTAATGATTGTGTATTTATACTGTCCATAATCAGACAGCTCATTAAGAGTTCTAATACGCATAAATTAATACCAAATCTTCTCTCAAATTCAGCTTTAATGGCGTCAGTTAGAACCCTAATTTTGCTCCTTTCTTTCGCTTGATGGTATCAGAGCAGGTTCGTCCTGCCTGATTATCACCATTCCGCTGCATAAGGTTTTGATTCCAATCATAACCTCACCGAATTCAGCTTCCTTTCTTGATTCTTGAAAACCATGGCAAATTGGCGCAATGAAGATGCAGATCGCGAACAGAGGAATGTTCGTCGCAGTGATGGTGATAAAGAAAGATCATGACGGGACAAAGATTTTTCAAACTTTGGTGTTTGTGCTCATCCATTAGCTCTGCACGCCTCTTATCATTCCAGATTGGCAATCGTGGGGATTAAGTTGACCGGAAACAATTACATCTCCTGGAGTCATGCGATGAGGATAAATCTAGGTATGAAAAATAAACTCTGCTTCATAAATGGTGATTATCCAAAACCTTCAGAGAATAGTCCTGAATTTGCTCAATAGATTATGGTGAATAATACCATCGTATCTTGGATTGTTAATTCATTGTCCGAGGAATTGCATGATGGATATATATTGGCTGAAGATACAAGAGAGTGAAGCAAAGATACGAAGGAATAAATGCCTCTCAGATTTATCAGACTAAATGAGAAATAAGCACAATCTGTCAAGGAAACTTGCCTTTAGCCTCTTATTTCACTAGATTGAAAAGACTGTGGGATGAATTAACTCACCTTGATCCGTTAGATATGTGCTCTTGCTCTAGATGCACATGTGGTATTGCAGGAATGGTAGCACAGAAATTGGAAGAGATAAAATGATGCAATTTCTGATGGGATTAAACGGCATATATGAAGCAGTTAAGAACCAGATTTTGGCCATGAGACCTTTGCCTGATGTCAGGGAGACTTATAAGATTGTTATGGAAATAGAGAAGCAAAGAAATGTTCAGATTATGTATACAGGACAGACAGATCATAGTGCCATGATGGCCAAAAATTCTGTGATGACTAATCCTGTTGTGATGCAATCCTCACCAACGATGTAGTCATCTTTGATGATAACACAAAGTGGAACGCCTGCACAGCCAAACCATGCAGTAAATTAGAATGCTGCAATGTTTGTTCATAAACAGAAATTTCAGAAGAAAAAAGATAAGAGGAACTTAAGGTCTGATCACTGCAAGAAGTCTAATCATACAAAGGAAACTTGTTTCCATCTTCATGGATATCCAGATTGCTGGAGGGTTCCAGATGGTAAAAAGGGGAAGAAACCACCTCCAGCTACTAAACGTGTGGTCAACATGAATGTGATAGATACACCATTTGATTCCATGACATCCAATAGTTCCTTGGGATATAACACTGCTGCTATGCCTGCAACTCAGATGATGGGACAAGAGAATATACAAGCTATTGTACTCAATCTGCATCACTTGTAACAGGAAGTAAGAATGCTTGCAAAGCGGAAAGGAGTACAGGCTGATAGTGGAGGAACACTGTTGAACTTTGCACACTACAAGATTTTGCATGTATAAATTTTGATTATATTCTTATTACTGTTGATATGGTGCATCCTAATGCTTGGTTCATGGATTCTGGTACAACTGGTTATATGGCCAATAATCTAAACCTATTAGATTCCGATAAGAAAATCAATCAACCCACACCAGTACATTTTCCTGATGGTAGCATCAATTATGTAGAACATATAGGGAACGTTACCTTATCATCTACCTTAACCCTCATAGACTATTTGCATATTCCTTATTTCAAATTTAACCTGATCTCTTTTAGCAAATTGGTCAGAATAACAAAAATTGACACACTTATTTCCACTAATTTTTGCATCATGCAAGACCAGGGGAGTAAAAGAGTTGTAGTTGTGGGCAAACTTGTTAACAACCTCTATATCATTGACCAAGATTCTTTTAGTGAAAAACAGATTATGTCAATCATACAATACCATGTAAATTCCTTATTCCTGTCTGTCACTAGCAGAGATCAATCTTTGTATCAGGCAAACTTTTCTAAACAAGATGTAAGCCAATTATGGCATTATAGGCTTGGACACCCTTATGATATTGTATCTAGTCACATTTCAGTACTATCATATTCAATAAAATCTCATTCCTTATGTGAAGTTTGTCCTTTGTCAAAGCAACATAGACTACCATTTCCTATCAGTCATACTAGATCATCCAATATCTTTGACTTATACATATAGATATTTGGGGTTCCTATAAAGAAAGATCTTTTATAGGTTGCCATTTTTTCCTTACTATTGTTGATGATTACTATAGGGCAACATGGACTTATTTGATGACTAGTAAAACCCAAGCAGTACCATTACTAGTTCAGTTCTGTAAAATGGTACAAACTCAGTATAAACCACTATCAAGGGGGTAAGATCAGACAATGGTTCAAAATTCCTGATTACCACTTGCCAAGCCTTGTTTTCTTCTCTTGGTATTATTCATCAAAAACCTGTGTCTATACACCTCAACAAAACGGAATAGTTGAGAGAAAACTTCAGCACTTGATACAAGTAGCTATGTCTCTTCTATTTCAGTCTCATTTACCTAAACTTTTTTTGGGAGAAGCTTTACTTACTGCCACTTATATCATAAACAGACTCCCTTCTTCCATTTTACAGTGGAAAACACCTTTTGAACTATTAAACCCGACACCACCTGATCTCAGCAACCGTAAAACGTTTGGTAGCATGTGTTTTGCAACCGATAATCTTCCCAATAAAGACAAATTGGATGAAAGGGCTATTAGATCCATCTTCATAGGTTATCCTCCTGGTAAGAAAGCATATAAGCTTTATGATCTCAAAACCAGAACCGCCTTTGTCTCTAGAGATGTTTTTCATGAACAACATTTCCCTTACCAAACAGAATTATCATCTTCTCAGTCTGCTTCTCCTATCTTACCTTCTTATAACACTTTCTTATATGATAAAAGTCACCATGATCCTTCATCATTCCCTCAGATTCCTTCTTCTAGTTCAGGGAATGATCTTCATTCTGCATCTCTGAACAATGATGATACATGTTATGATATTTCAGAAGATGTCATCTCTTTGTCTCCTATACATCATCATCCTGTTTTTAGAAGAAGCACTACAGAGAAAAACATACCTGCCAGGTTACAAAATTATCACCTTAATCTTCTTATCAGATCTCATCAGGCAAATCATGTTGTCACTTCTTCATCTTTTACTCCAAACACCATTTCCATATGATCATTCCTCCCTTTTCAGGCCTGAATACCTTGGTTTTTTGGCTAATATTAACCAAGCACCAGATCCAACTTGTTATTCACAAGCTAGAACCAGGCATGAATGGGTGCAGGCTATGCAAGCTGAGCTGGATGCATTGGAGGCCAATCATACTTGGGATTTAGTTGATCTTCCATCAGGCAAGAAACCCGTAGGCTGCAAATGGGTATACAAGACTAAATTCAAGGCGGTGGAACTATAGAGAGATATAAAGCAAGGTTGGTTGCTAAGGGTTACAATCAAATTGAAGGAATAGATTACATTGATAGTTTCTCTCCAGTTGCAAAGATGGTTACAGTCAGGGTTCTACTTGTTATTACTTTCGCTCAAAACTGGTTTCTTCATCAAATAGATATCAACAACGCTTTTCTGCATGGTCATTTATTTGAAGATGTCTACATGAGAAAACCTGAGGGATATGATCGGGGAAATCCAAATCAGGACTGCAAGCTCATAAGGTCTCTCTATGGCTGAAACATGGTTCTAGGCAGTGGCACCTTGAATCTGCAGAGAAACTTAAGGTTTTTGGTTTGAAATAGTCTCACCGTGATCCATGCATGTTTACTATGCAATACTCAGGTGCTTTTTTGGTTCTTCCTGTCTATGTGGATGATGTCCTCCTGGTTAGTTCTTCTGAAGCTGCAATCTCAGCCATCAAGGATCTAGGGCCAGTAAGATTCTTTCTTGGTATCGAGATAGCTTGCCGCTCTTAGGGTCTTTATCTCAATCAAAGAAAATACGTTTTAGATATTCTAAAATGTACTAGAATGCTTGGCTGTAAGACAGCTCAAACACCTTTACCCAAGGGTCATTTCTTCCCAGAGGATAAAGAATGTGGTGCTTTGTTAACTGATCCTTCTGCTTATAGAATATTGGTTGGCTAGCTGCTCTATGCTGTTCAGCAGCTTAGCCAACACACTCGGAATCCAAGTGAGAAGCATTGACAATCCCTTACACATGTGCTGAGATACCTAAAAAGTTGTCCCTCCAAGGGTTTGTTTTACCTTTCTTCTACTGCCTTGAATTTTGTGACTTACAGTGATTCTGATTGAGCCACCTGCCATGTCATACGTCGATCTCTCTCAGGGTTCTATGTATTTCTTGGAGGATGCCTCATTTCCTGAAAAACCAAGAAGCAAGACACTGTATTAGCATTATCAGCTGAGGTAAAATACCACATCCTTGGATTGACAGCAAGGGAGCTAAAAATGGATATCATACATACCTTGTGATTCTACGTATCATACCTTGTGATTCACAATGTAGAACCCAATTATCAGAAGATGATAACTGGAAAGCTTAAACTTGAAACTGGATTACAGGCATAGAATACTGAAAACAGTACCACTAAACAATTATGTTACTACCAATATGTTGACAGGCATAACAACATTCCATAAAATTGATGACAACTACCAGCAATGGTCCTGAACATGGCTTAAAAACAAATGTGAAAATCAGAAGCTATTTTGTCCCCTTTATAAGAGCACCAAACCTTTGTTTTAAACTAAAAGTATAGTATATCTAAATATATAAGAGGACAAGACTTCCCAACAACATCAAAGCATTGACTAAGCTTTGAAAATGTAGAGGGATAAATAAAATTCAATTTTGTGTATTTATCTTTTCCACCTTTATATTAAGGATCTTTATTACTCTCTTAAAACATCAGCCACCTGAAAATTCATCACGTTTGACATGACGTGATGACAACTAAATAAGAACCTTCTGCTTCTAGTCTTTCTGCTTCTAGTCTTCTTTAAATCCAAAAATTAGATTTTGATTCATTTTTAATATTTTTAAAATTTTTTTTATTATAGATTTATAAATCTATACAAACCCCCCATCCAGTTTTCTGTTGGGTAGTAGTAGACAATTTTGAGCTTTTTTCGCATATTAATTTCCTTCTTTGACTGAAAAAAGAAAATAAACTTCCACATCTAGTTATATGGATTATAGACGTAATAAGATTTATTAATTCCGGTTTCAGTAGGAACAAGATTGGCGGTGTGATGAAATAGTGGTGTAAATGTCAAGATGTTGATCGATGTATAGTTTACCCAATTCAGGGGTGTTTTTGTATATAGTAGAGCTTAGTAGATTATATTGTAAATATGGAGGGGCATTCCAGACTTTTAGTTTTGGAAATAAGTCGGCTAATGATTGTGTATTTATACTGTCCATAATCAAACAGCTCATTGATAACACAAAAATATAACCCTTTTTGATAGCATTTTCTACTCATTTTTACTTATAATTTAGTGTCAATTAGTTAGGACTAGTTTACTTTTTGGGCGATTTTGCAATTCAGGTATCTGCAGGGCCAATGTGGAAAATCAGCATAAATGAGAACCGAATTGCACTAAACGGCATCAAAAGGGACTGAAATTAAAAGCTGCTGGAATTGAGCTGCTGGAGCTGAAGCTGCCGGAATTAAAGCTGATGGAAGGACTGATCAGAGCTGGGAGCAAGTGCAGAAATCCTTGTTGAAGAAGGAGGATTGATAGCAGACGGACAAGTGGAAGAAACTGCTGCAGAGAAAGAATGGTAGTTGTTCTACCGTTCTGATCTCTGTTGCAGAAGCTGTGCTGCTATCAATCAAAGAAGAAGAGCCACTAGCCGAGATCTTTGTGCCCAAGGAAGGAAATTATTTTGCCATCACTGCAAGTTGTTAATTGCTTCAAGTGGAAGAAGAGAAAGAGAGAGTATATTTGATGAGCAGCAGCTGCAACTCTGCTACTTACCCACTGATACTGCTGCTGAGTTGATGGATTGACTGTTGTTGAAGGGTGAGCAATGGCATAGCAAGTGACCCAGGAAACAAGGAAGAAAAGGGCAGAAGAATCAAGCTGAATTGGGGGCTGAAGACATAATGATGGAAGCAAGCAAGCTGCTAATGCTGACTGATGCTGCTCAATCGACTGCTGAGGATTAAAAGAATGAAGAAATAGAGAATGGTGGCTGAGAATTGGAGCAACAGCGCCGGAGAAGAAGACTAAAGGAAGAAGGAAATGATGAGGGGAAGCTGACTGATTGCGGCTGAAGAGAAGGAGCAGCCAACATGAAAGCTACAACTTGCCAAATAGGCAAGTTGCAGAATAAACAACTCTCTACTGCTACAAGTTACTGCCTCACATTTCAGTTGCAGAAAAGAAGGCCAGAACTCCACAAATCCAAGCCTCTCCAAATCTCTATAAACACCCAGCCAATAACAGTAGAAAAGGGGGAGATTAGGTAGTTAGAATTAGTCCTAAAGATAGTATTTAAGTAGTTAGTTGGTTAGAAACAGGGTAATAGCAGGACCAAAGCTGACTGTCACTCTGTCAAGGTGGCGAACGCCACTCGCCATAGTGAGCAGACTGTCCCTGCTACCATCCTTCCTTTCTTTTCGCTAACCTTTAGAATAGGATTTATGTCCTATCTTTTGTACTTTGTTTCTCTCTCTGCTTAACTCAATAAGGATGAGTAGCTAACTCAGTTAAAGGTTCAATCTCTACTATCTTTATGTGAAAGTTTTGATTTAGTTTCCTTGATGAGGTGTTGTGCCTAGATAAGTGCTTAAATTTATCTTTTAGTTAACTTGATCAATTAATTAAAATTGCATGTATGGTTATGAAGATCACTCGAAAGGGGCCGCACAACCTTAGAACTGCTTAATCTAGTCTATGACAAAGGGGGAATTCCACTCCTTTGGTTTCATTCACCAACGGAAGTTCGGTGGTGGCATAGGCGATCTTTAAGGGCTTAAGAACTCAATGGTCGGACTAAATAAGACTCTGACTGGATTGATATTCTAGGACTCTTTACTCTATCTTGACGGAATTGTGGAGATACATAGGTTCCTGATCGAACAACTAATCATACACTACAGGAATGTTGAATCAAAACTGGATCATAAAGATAGGAAGGTGATTGACCCTTACTGCATACTCACTCTGTCAAGTGACATTTCTCACTCTCCCAAGTGACAATCTTTCCAACTAGTTCTTTTCTTGTCTGTATTTTTGATCAGATTTTGAGCGGTTGACTGTCGTCTCTTTGGAACGACCCTGCTTACCACCAGCTAATAGTTTTAAGTAGGTTTATAAATTATCCTTTTGGAGAACAATTCCAACAACACTACACAAATCTTTGCTTCACCAAAAGTGGCGCCGTTGCCGGGGATGGTGTTAAAAATCCTTAAAGTCTGATTATTATATTCTGTTTTTATTCTTTTTATTTTTTTTGGTTTTTGTCTATTTCATTCAATCACTCACTCAAAATATGTTATTATTACTTTCGAGATTTGATCACTGGTTTATGACTAGAAGCAATCCTTCGGGAGAGCTAAGTTTTGAACTAGAAATGAAAAACACGGCGAGGAGATCAAAATCCTTGCGAAACAAAAAAATTGCAACTCGTGTTCTTGTATATCAGAAGAAGACGGCAGAAGAAGCACCAGCTGAACAAGCTCAAGACAGAGAGCTACAACCAGCTCAACCTAGTCTGCTAAGAGACTATTTTGTACCCCAAGAGGAGGAAGTTCAAACTACATTAGTGTACAGTAATGTTGCAGCATAAAACCTTGAGCTAAAAACTCAGATGATTCAATGGGTGCAAGCTGCTTGTCCTTTATACGGACTACCAAGTGAAGACTCGAATGAGCACATCAGGAAATTCCTTAGACTGTGCAGCACATTCAAGATTCAAGGTATCTAAGAATGAGGTATATTTAAGATTGTTTCCATTCACATTGCAGGATCAAGCGGCAAAATGGTTGGACACTCTGCTGAACAATTCAATCAATTCTTGGAATAGACTCAGACATGCCTTCCATACAAAATTCTTCCCACCGGTCAAGGCTGTTGCTTTAAGATGAGCCATCATGACTTTTCAGCAGCATGGGACATAGACTCTTTATGAGGCTTGGGAAATATTTATCGACCTGATGAGAAAGTGTTATCAACATGGTGTGGAAAAGCCAATGCAGTTATGCATTTTCTAGCAACAACCCTCTAGAGAATCACTTGATTCATCATTTGGAGGGGAGTTCATGATGAAACCTGCAGTTGAGGCAATCCAACTATTGGAGAACATGTGTGGAAACCACTTCAGATGGCAAAAGGAGCTTAGAGCTACATCAAAGAAAGCAGGAGTGTTGGAGTTAGATGCTACAACTCACTTGCAAGCACAAATGGCAGCCATCACCAGTGAAATCTCAAAGTTGAGAACATCAACAAACCAAAAGTTGATGAATGTGAAATCTACACAGGACATGAGGCCCTTCAAGCAATCGCTTCTAGGGTCGCCACTCGGCGAGTCTTTCTCAACGTTGCTTGGTCTTCCCTTTTTATTTGTTCTTTTTTTTTTTACTGAGTTTCTTGAAATAATTGTTGAATGCTCGCCTTGGAAATTCAATGCTTGTTCCCCCTTTTTGGGTTCTGGAAAGGAAAAGAAAGGATGTGATTAATTTAATTGCCCTAGACTGGGTGGGTTTTTGTTATACCTAGAAAAAGCTGCTTCAAAACCATATATTTTTGGGTTTTGCCAAGACATACAGTACTGTTGTGATTTTGTTGCTTGATTATGGAGAAAGGATTTTGTTGCTTGATTTTGTAAAGGAGAGATACTGGTAGTATATACTTTTTTTCTCCCAATATAACTGTTCGGTTGAAATTTTTGTTTTTAGTTTAAGTTATATATTTTGGATATAGGAATTATATTATATCAAATGATACTGGAATAAACATGTGAATTTTCATATTTACTTAAGCCTCTTTCTCCTGTAATATGTTTGCACAGTCATCGTATAATCCCTGGGGTGTGTTTCAATTGAAACAAACATTTCAGGTTTCGAATCATACACAACTATTGAGAGAGCTCATCGTTTGTGTTTGGCACAGTTGTGGAATTCTTATTTTCATTTTATTTCTTTCTATTATGTAATCAAGAATGATTATTTCCATATATACATTTGAATCTTAATTAATGCCATACAGAAAATAATGCAATGGAGTACCTTCTAGAAGTTTAAGTTGATCGGAAGGATTAGCTTATCACTAATCTCTCCAAATCCATGTAGTAAACGAGAAAATCAGAAGTCTGCAATCATGTCTCTATAAATTGACCAACAACAAAACTAAACATCTAAAGTTCCGACCTTCCAGTTGTCAAGTTTCTCCTTCTGTTACTATCAGGTACTAATTTCTTTCTACTTATTTTTTTAGTTACTTATTTCATACTTAGTCTATATTTTGAAACAAAGAGAATATTTCTATTTATAGTTATTATGAATGAAGTACTCTAAGTTTTTGTTTATACTTTGAATGCGCTTTCTCTATAGACAGGTCACAAGTAAATCCACACCGCTGCAATAGTTTACAAATTTTAGGAGAAAGTAAACTAGCATAGGCAAGTAGTAAGGAGTAAATCATCATAGGCATATTCGGAGTAATAACTTGGAGTGCAAAATCGAGAGGTCATATATAGAAGGCTCTGTTTGGTTCATCTCAGCATAGTTTTTTATATTTTAATGCACCTTTTTACATACCCAATGTATCTTTTTACACTCCCAATATAAAAAAAAATGCACTAAAAAAACGATCCAAACATACCCTTAGAGTGACAAGTTTGCATGCAAAATCTAAAGTTTGTATATATTAAGGTTTTTTTTTTTTTTTGGTCATATACTTATATGATTGATGTTATTTATAGGTGCAAGCATTTGAGAGACATTGCTGATCAACCATATGTGTTGGAACATGCAAGGTTTTATAAACCTCGTGACATTGACAAGTTAGCTCATTCAGAAGATATACCAGATGTTGTAATCGATTCTATTTGGGATTTCATCTTTAAGTGTGCTTACATTGGAAATCGTGACGCAAAAGATCTAAAATCAACTCGTGCGTAAGTCACATCCCAACGTGCTTATTTTTTATGAATAGTAATAGTACAATTCATATTAAATTTTCAAATTTTGTGTACTAAAATGTTTTGAGATTGTATAGATTTTAGTATCATCATCGATGAATCGATTAATCATGATCTTGATCTTGGAGTAATTTCATTTTTTTTTCTTTTTGACAAAAATTTAGTCTTTTTTTTATAAATTTTGTACCGTTATCAATTAATCAAGGGTGCAGTACCATAATTTTGTACTATAATATATGATCAATCTCAATAGAGTGATTATTTTTGTAGGAAGAATCATTTGAGACGAGGAATAACATACAAGGATGATGGTTGTCATGGTGTATTAGTACCAAGTCACATGTTTGCAAACTTGATTCCTTACCTTATGAAAGCAGCAAAGGAACGAGGATGCACCATTGACTTCCGTAACATAGAACTACTGGAAAACGCCAAAAAGGAAGAACACTCCATTCTGAGACGTGTACTCAGGCAAGATTAGAGGATCGCACTAAGCAATGGATAAAAGATGTGGAACAACACGGATCCAAAGAAATACTCGATATTGAGTTTTGAAATTGATACCAATATCAAAATTTTCAAAAGTCCATTTCTATTTCTACAATAAAACCCTTCATATATTTTTTTTAATATATTTCTACTTAAATTCTATTAAAAAAATTCAACTCCTTCAACGGTATAAATATTTCTTAGAATTTAGAATGTTACCTATGCTGTGTTCGAACTACGGGATTATTTTTCAAAAAAAAAAAACTACGGGATTAGACATGTGCCACTGTTTTACTAGAGACAAACTAAATTCAATGTATAGTAAAATATACTAAGCTCATTTTTGTACCTACTTTTAAATAATGTAATTCGTTATATTGATCTCCATGAAATTCATGCCTATATCTAACTAAGAAATTCTATACTCAGGTCAAATTTTAATAACGTACGTAACATAATTATTAATTATATCACACGAGATTAGTTGTAGTTATTTTTCTCAAAGATTATAATTAATGAAACTTAGCTGAAAAACTAAATAATTAATTTCTATCGGGACATTCAACTAAGCCTTTTGAATTTATGATGTTTACACCATAGAGATTGGAAAATGCCACATTGAATACTGAAAACTGTTGGTAATACCATAGAATGATACCAGGTAACTCATTTTAATGTCGAAGACATCAACATTACAATCTACAGTGACATAAACTAACATTACGAATGTAGTAAAACATTCACCATTCCGGATGTGCATTTTCCCAAATTTTGATAAGCTAATTGCTAATACACATACATTTTGTCCATCATTAATTCCTAATCTAGTGCTCACCTGAGAGCTCAAACCTCAGCTCGCATATTGAGTACATTCATAAAAGTGAAAAAGATCTTTAAAAGAATGATGTGTTGGCATTTTTCTCAAAAAAGAATGCTTTGAAAAGAAAACCAACTAACTTTCAAAAAAGGTAGTTTACTGAGCCAATTACTAATCCTTAAGTCCTCCCACAGCCAATTACAGATCATTCAAGTACAACAGATAACTACCCGATCATCATGAATAACTCAACGCCACCATTACAATTGCAAGCCACTAAAGTGGAGATGCAATGCAATCTGTGGAAGAAATTAATAATGTCACTTCATAAAGCTCAACACACAGAAATCCTAATACGGAATCGAACATATGGTAATGCATGCTATCAAGCGTGAGGCCAAATCATACAATTATTCTAGCTGTGAAGTAGAACTACAAACATTTAACCACGAACTATTTTTTACTGAAAGCCATGATGCCACAGATTCACAACTTAGAGCCCCCATTATCAGAAGTTGATAACTGGAAAGCTTAAACTTGAAACTGGATTACAGGCATGGAACACTGAAAATAGTACCACTAAACAATTATGTTACTACCAACATGCTGGCAGGCAGAACCACATTTCAGAAATTTGATGACAACTACCAGTAGTGGTCCTAAACATCTCGGCTTAAATACAAATGCAAAATCAGAGGCTATTTTGTCCCCTTAAAAGAGCATCAAACCTAATTTAAACAAAAAGGACAGTATATCTAAATATATAAGATTTTGTCCCCTTAAAAGAGCACCAAACCCGTTGTAAACAATAAGGACAGTATATCTAAAATATAAGAGGATGAGACTTCCCAACAACATCAAAGCATTGACTAGACTACACTAGGGGTGGCAATCTCCGACACGAATCCGGCACGAAATAAGCGGGTTAGGGTTGAGAATTTGGACCCGTATAATAAACATGTCGGGTTAGGGTCGACCCGTTTATTATACAGGTCGGGTTTGGGGTCAACCCGCCGGGTTACCCGGGTCACCCACATAAATGTAAATTATAGAATATGTAGGGGTGATTTTGGAAATTCAAGTTGAAAGTGTAACCTAATCTATGGGGTTCGTGGTTCATTGGTTCATTTGTAAAACTTTGTCTCTCTTTTTAACATCTCTCTCTCTCTCTCACAGCGGCGGCCGACCCAATCTTCAAGCGGAGGCCTTGCCTTTCACCCTTCCGAAGTCGGGATCCAAATTGGACGATCTAGACAACTTAGCTTCCGCCCTCTTCATCTTATTCTTCTTAGCAATTTCATAAATGGGGTCCAAATTGGACGATTTCGACGAGGCTTAATTTTCACCACTACCTCCCTCTTCTCTTTCTTCCTCTTTTCATTGTTAGCAATTTTAGCCTTGGATTCCAAATTAGAAGATTAATTATGACTTGCTTCGATTCCAACCTCAGTTTCTTCTTCTCTTTCGTTTTGCTAGTAGATTCATCATTTTATGTTGGGATTTTAAAGTTGTAACTTGTAGTTTAGGCATTTGGATTTCAAGGTTGTAGTTTGTGGTTCGGTAATTGGGGTTTTAATATTATCATTTTTTATCTTCAGACATCAATCTTGATTATTGAATTTTTTTATTTTTGTAACTTTAGAAATTTTTTTGAGAAATCCGGGTTAGCAGGTCGGGTCACGGGTGACCTGAATATTTTCAGGTCGGGTTAGGGTTAAGAAAGTTAACCTGTTTATTTATACAGGTCGAGTTCGGGTTGGCTATATTTTTTTCGAATTCGGGTTCAACCTGACACGCCAACCCAAACCCGACACAGATTGTCAGCCCTAGGCTATGCAAGTTTACATGAACCACAATAATTTAAATATTCAAAAGTAAATATTCCACAATTTTTGCTCTGATACGCACATAAACTGCACTATGGGTAGTCTAATAAATAAATTCCAAATGTTTGGAACTACGATATTGAAATGTTAATGTAAGGGACGTAAATTTAAGTAGGCCCAAATGTAAGAGACCATTTGGACATTTTAGTCATTCAGAATTTTGGATTTCAAAGGTTAATATTGAGTAACCATTTTTCATTGATTTTGAACCCCCTTTTCTGATTAAATTTTGTTGGTTCCTTTCTTTTGGTCGCTAAGGCATGTAATGTAAGTCGTGGGCTGCAAAAATGACCCCATAATCTCTTGAAATAACAATTACAACTTGGAGAAAAGGGAATTGAATTATGTTCTTTCTCACAAAATTGGATAAGTTAGTGTTGGTAGTGAATTTAATTTCAATCTTGATGCATGTCAAAAGTAGAAATTTCAAATTACCCAAATGAATAGCCCTCTAAGCTTGGAATCTTTGTATCTCTGAGCTAGTTTGTTGAGCCTTTGTTTGATTTCATTATTTTTTAAAAAAAATTTAGACCAGGCAAGTGTTTTTTATTTGCGGTTTGTGGATTGTAATATCGTATAATCTCATTGCTCTTCTGTCTGCCATTTAAATTTCTGCTGTGGTGTTTCCCTCCTTACCTCCAAACACTTAGCGAGCTTAGCCTATGTTGCTTTTGGCGGGTAGAATTTTTTTGAGGCCTACAAGTTGATGTTATTTTTTTGACCATTTCATGTAGATTACCTTTTGTTTACATCTTTGGATGTTCTAGATATAGGAGTTGGCGCTTGGCAATGACGCGCGTTTTGGCTTGCTCAAGAATGTTTACCTCGTATGGTCAGCAAGAACTTAAGGCTCTTGTTCTTGAGGTACAAAAGAATAGTCTGTATGTAAGGAAAAAGTTGCTAGCTTTCTTACTACTTATGTAAACATCCATTATGTGCTATGGATTAAGTACTTGTGAACTCTAGTAAGTTAAGTCGTTTGTAGGATATTCAAGATTTGTAAAATAGTGGTAGTAGATTGTAGTTGGATATTGAGGTGCTCGAGAATGGTGTTTCGATGAATTTTTGTAAAAAACATAAAATATTGTATTAGGATTGTACTTGATGTAATTGGTATTTTTAATTGAGAAATAATTTTATATGTAATGTGTAGTTTGATTATTAGTTAATTGTAGTCATTTATTATAATTACATATTATTGGAAAGTGACCAACTCATATTTGGGACTAATAAGCTGGTCACCAACTCAATAAAAAAAATTTTAAAAAAATGTTATTACGTAATCACCAACTGGCCGGTCACCCATCACTGGTCACAAAATTCAAAATTTTTAACCAACTGAGCCGTCGGAAGTTGGTCACAAAAATTTGCTGCCCGGGCTGCCCATCAAAATTTTGATGACCAACACCAACTATTCCCATAGTCATTCACTCACAGAAATTGGTCACCTAAGGCCTTTAGCGACAAGGCTTAGTCGACCCACTAAGAGTTGGTCACCAGTTGGTCACTGAAGGCCTTAGTGACCGGAACTGGTCACCAAATGCCATTTTAGTGACTAGAATCTGTTTGTCACCAAAGCTCATTTTTTTTAGTGGTGAACACTTCATTAATTTATTTGGATGAAACTATTGCTCCCTCAATCACTCGCGGGTAGCCGATTATCCAAATAGCACGCATAAGCATATTCTAAATAAGAAAATAGAGTTAATGAGATGCACAATAGGATATAGCCTATGCGTTCATCCAATATAATAACAATAATGGGCAAATATGATGAAATACAGGTTTTATTTTATTTTTTTTTGAAAATAAAATAAGGTCACTGTAAATAAATAGAGAAAAATTTGAAGGAAAATGTGCATGAAATTATGTAACTTTAATCTAAAATAAACTATCATCTAACCTTAAATAATAGTTATACCATAAATTACTAAGAAAACTTTATATGAAATGACGTGCCAATCATCGAAACTATCTCATTTACTACATAAACACCAAATAGAAACAAGTATAAAAAATGAATGAATGCCATCATTTCTGTCACTTTTTCTTGTAAAATTTTCTATGCGTATCATTATTCCACCTTAGATTCAGAAATTCCAGATGGAAATTACAAATGAATAGATATCATTTGATTCACGTTTCTATGTGTCAATATTATTCAAATAAGTAAATATAAGGAACAAAAGAAACTGAAGTTCGTAACCACATGCCACGAAAGGAATTAGCGGATCCCCATTTTCTGTTTATTCTTTCGCAAATTCAATTTCATCAATTATTATTAGTGTACAGTACTAACCACAATATATTAGCCTGAGACATGATACTCTAAAACGATTGACTACGATGTAAGAACTAACAAGGGATCATGAATCATGACATAGCTAGCCATCAGTTCTAAATTTGATTGACCACCCGTTAAGTCTACTTAATTAATTCCTATTTCTTTCCTTCTTAAATTTCTCACCTGCACGCAAAATCTTGCATGAAAAACTTCCATCGTTGATAATCAGTCAGCAGATGAAGAAAAACAAACCAACGTACATAACTAAGATAAGGTAAAGAAATGGGATGTAAAACTTATTTTGGTGGCACAAATTTTAAGAAACTAGACGATCTTTTTATTAGACATGTTAGATATTGATTACACCACAATGTTATCGGCATAGCCGAAAAAATATTGTAATTTGAGCTCTTAAGCATGAATTGCAACATTCTATGTGCATGTCCATTGTAGCTATCAAACTGATAGATATTTATGTTATTATTAGTCCCATGATCCTCACTCTTGTTTTTTTGTCAATGTAAAGAACTTACTAGTAAATAGGAATTGGGAACCAATTAATATACACTGCACAAATAGCTCCAAGACCAGATGAAAAAGAGTTAGGAATTGTCTTGAGTTACAAACCTGTTTCACATGATCATAAGAACCTTGATCAAACTGCGATTTTGTTATTTCATCGACAATTCAGTCTTCTTTTCAAGTAGTAGTATATATATTTATATTCATTCTTCATACCCACAAAAAAATTAAAAAAAATCCATTCATCGTGATACATGTTCCAAGAGCATTCTTTTTCAAGACTCAATTTACTTTTTACATACATGATTCCGCAGCATGCTATGAATCCACCAAACAACTGAAAATTAAATCCCAGAAAAGCCAACCGCGCCGCCTTCTCACACAAAATGGCCAGCGCCGCCGCCAATGCCACCGCCACCATTTGTAACCATCTCACCGTTCCTGCTAATAAAAACATAAACTTATCCTCAAACGCCACCCTTCTATTTTCCCCTCGCAAATCCGGTCTCCTCCAAAGCAGCAGCCGTCGTCAATGCCGCCGGAATCCTGTTGTTTCTAGCTTACTGTACCCAACACCGTCCCTCTCCGAACCTCAAACCCCAAAACCAATCTCCTTTGTTCCCAGATTCGCCTCCGATGAGCCCCGAAAAGGATGTGACGTCCTCATCGAAGCCCTGGAAAGGGAAGGCGTGACAGATGTCTTTGCCTACCCAGGTGGCGCGACGCTGGAGATTCACCAAGCGCTTACCCGCTCAAAAATCATCCGTAACATTCTCCCCCGTCATGAACAAGGCGGTATTTTCGCAGCCGAAGGATATGCCCGCGCTTCCGGCCTTCCAGGAGTCTGCATTGCGAGTTCCGGCCCGGGAGCAACTAACCTTATGAGCGGGTTAGCTGATGCCCTGCGAGACAGCATACCTCTCGTAGCCATAACCGGCCAAGTCCCTCATAAAATGATCGGAACCGACGCGTTCCAAGAAACCCCAATCGTCGAGGTAACGCGAGCGATCACAAAACATAATTATCTTGTCACGGATGTAGAGGACATTCCTCGTGTTGTTCACGAGGCATTTTTCATCGCCAATACGGGCCGGCCCGGCCCGGTATTGATCGATGTCCCGAAGGATTTACAGCTGCAAATGGTGATCCCGGACTGGAACCAGCCCATGAGGTTAGTTGGTTACATTTCTAGACTACCTAAGCCACCAAATGAGGTATACTTAGAAAGGGTGTTGAGCTTAATTGAGGAGTCGAAAAAGCCCGTTTTATATGTCGGTGGAGGCTGCGTAAATTCGAGCCAAGAGCTCAGGCGATTCGTCGAGCTTACAGGGATTCCGGTTGCAAGTACATTGATGGGGTTAGGCTCCTTCCCGTGTTCGGATGAGGAGTATTCGTTGCAGATGTTGGGAATGCACGGGACCGTGTACGCGAATTACGCCGTGGACAAGAGTGATCTTTTGCTCGCATTCGGGGTGCGATTCGATGACAGAGTTACTGGAAAATTGGAAAATTTCGCAACCAGGGCTAAGATCGTTCACGTGGATATTGATTCGGCTGAGATTGGTAAAAATAAGCAGCCAAATGTTGCAATTTGTGCAGATATTAAATTGGTTCTCCAGAAGTTGAACTCAATGTTGGAGACGAGGAAGTCGGATTTTTCAGCCTGGAGACAAGAGTTGAACCAACAGAAGGCTAAATTCCCGATGAGTTTCAACACTTTTGGTTCTGCAATTCCTCCGCAATACGCCATTCTGGTGCTCGACGAATTGACTCGTGGAAATGCGATTATCAGCGTCGGTGTCGGACAACACCAGATGTGGGCCGCTCAGTTTTACAAGTACAACCGGCCGCGCCAGTGGCTGACGTCCGGCGGGTTCGCGGCCATGGGGTTCGGGCTTCCGGCTGCCATCGGCGCTGCCGTCGCGAAACCGGACTCGTTAATTGTGGACGTCGACGGGGACGGGAGTTTCCTGATGAATGTTCAGGAGTTAGCCACAGTTCGGGTCGAAAACCTGCCGGTTAAGATCATGCTGTTGAATAATCAGTATCTTGGTATGGCGGTTCAGTGGGAGGACAGGTTTTATAAGGCGAATCGAGGGCATTCGTATCTCGGGAATCCTTCCAAATCGTCGGAGATTTTCCCCGACTTCGTGAAATTCGCCGAGGCTTGCGACATCCCGGCGGCCCGGGTGTCGAAAACCGAGGATCTCAGGGGTGCGATTCAGGAGATGCTGGAGACTCCGGGTCCCTACTTGTTGGATGTAATTGTGCCTTATCAAGAACATGTCTTACCAATGATTCCTTACGGTGGAGCTTTCAAAGATGTGATTACTAAGGGTGATGGCAGGTCATTGTATTAATTGTTTTTTTTTGCATATTTCCACACTAAGTTATATCTGTAACAAGACTTTTCTACTGTCGTTCATTTATCTTTGTTATGTAAATTGTAAATACGTTTGTATAGTGTCGTTCTCAATCTATGCTTTAGTATATTACTAGTGCTTGAGCATTCGTCGCGATGCGCGACGCGCCCTAGAAATAATATAGAGTACTTAATTTACTATCGGGTACACACGTGTTTTTTAATTATTATTTTCAAGAAATTCATTGTTGATGATTATACGAAATGTAGAAAATACTACTAATAAAATGATTTTTGATTATTATTGATGTGAATCCATAAGATAAAATAAACGTAGGAGAATATTAGCTTAAACTAAAAAATTATAACCGTAGAAGCAATGTGGAATGTAGACGGTTGTTTTATGCGTTGGCAAGATTAAAGATCTTATGGTAAACAACATTTCGGGTTCTTGTATCTTCGACGATGTCGTTCAATGTCAGAGACATGAGTAGGAGTAGGATCTTTAGTGATTTGGACGTCTTTGCTCGGGATAGAATCACATACAGCTGTCCGAGGTTTGGATAGGATGTATCCGCCTTTAAGGTTTTCGCTTAAGACATTGCGCAACATATAAATGGTTATGAGAAAAAATGTGTTCCCACAAATAATATGACATATTCTTGTGTGTTTCTTAGAATTGTAGATTGTCCCACAAGATATAGTTAGTTATTGAATATATTCAAAATTTTGAGTTTAATACGACTAAGTGCATTGTTTGTGCAATATTGAAGTATGTATTTTAAACTCACAAAGTACATAGATACAATTTATCCAAATCTTTTAAGATCACAAATATAATCTCTAAAATATAATAATAAAAGTAGCTATATTATGTTAAGAAATAATAACAATAAAGTGGTTTTTGTTGAAATTTTGAGTTTTTTGATTTGATGATCATATAGTTTCAAGACGTGTTCTCACCTTCTACAAGTCAAAATCGGGTCTTAACTATCAAACAAAAATTAAAGTTCCGTATTGTGTTTCACGATGATATAAAATAATTCTAATCGGAGCTACAAATGTCAAATTATGGTCTCTCCAAAACTTTACTGATTCCTACTGAACTTAGCTCTCTCTACAAACTACAAATTGAAAAAATAATAACTACTTCCATTTAATTGGTCTTCCCCCTTAAACGAAAAAGAAGAAGAAATGGCAAAACACTCGCCTTAGACATAAATGAAGTCAAATTCACATAAAATCTGATTAAAATAATTATATAAAATACTCGTCATTAGAATAGCAAAAAAAAAAGAACAGCAGTTTTTCTCTCTTTAGGAGCAAAAACTGCCAACTAAACATAGAAATTGGGGGTCTTTCTATAGTTGTCTATAGATTTCTTTGCGAGGATATCCACACAAAGGGTTGTTGTGTTAAAAGATAACCTCCCAATTTGCCGCAAATAATTCCTAGATCAGCATGAGCTCTGGATCAAAGTTTGGTGCAAGATCATAGTTGTGGATAAGCTCAATAGCTCTGCTTCAGAGATTTTTTTAAAAGAAGAAAGAAAACTCTGCTTGAGAGTTGATTCTACGAAAAACCTTGTAAGTCTCTTCTGCTGATGGTTGTCCCCGTAAAAACTAATCCCAGATTTCTACATTTGCTCCCAAGAAGCTCTGTGCTACTTCAACATAAAAAATCAAAGGTAAAGATAAATTATGTACAAAATCAGGGAAGCAACAGAAATTCAATCCAAAAATGAATGCCTTAAGCTCTAATTCAATCCCATGTTAAGCATCCATTTCAAAAGTTGAGAGTCAAACCTCGATCACCTTTTATCCTGTTTACCTTGCAAAGACTGAATGAACTGAACAATGAGGTCAACACTCCGGGAATCATACAAAATGGAAACAATTCAAGAGCTCAAGAAAAAGGAAGGGGAAAAAATCAAGCCGTAGAAAACTTTCTACTAAGAATCAAAATTGTCTCAAAATCTGTTGGGGTAGGCTCCGAATTGAACTATTCATAAAGTTGTACTTCTTTTCTTTCCTTGGTCACAATTTTGCTCACTGCCTCACTGATACATCGAGATCTGCAGGGGCTGACTTTGAGTGTATTAGCTCCACAAATGGCTCCTAAAATGACTGAACACACACTGGTTTGTAGATCTACACATTGCCAATATAATCAATGAGAGCTAAAATTTAAATGTGGATAAAACAAAAGCATAGATCAGCAAAAGAGTGCACATGCACTGAAATGAGAAATCTGATCTCGACAACCGAATATTAATTTACCAACGTTGATTCTAGTTAATAAAAACCGAGTTGCATGCCAAGGTTGATTTGAACAATCAGATTCTTTCCAGCTCACTTTTCATCCTCGACACCTCAAATAAAATAAATGGCTTACCTTAAAAAGATTTTCATACACACACAAGGACTGCAAGAACATCGTTGGTTATGAGAAGAAGCCACCTTCTTCTTATTTCAGCCAATAAAAGCTAGCTATACTACTTGCAGTTTGGAGACGCAAAAAAGCTTGCTGTACTACGTCCTAACATCACTTGATACAATTATACAAACATAAATTGAACTAAAAGATATGAAAAGTACTGATTGCATAACCGAGAAAGCTGCGCCAAATTTTGTCTCAAAAGAAGTAGAAACTATCTGACTATATGAAAAATCCAATTTTAAAAAAAGAACAACCATCGCCAAAACAATCATCGAGATGGCAAGCAATAGTCATAGCTCTGACCATCACAACCCAAAACATATAACTCAAAAATTTTCAAATTCCCACCTTTGTGAACAGGGTAATTGTACAAGGCGAGGGATCAAAGCAGGAAAAAAAAATCAGGGAAAACAATGAGCAAAGAAAGGTGTTTTACAATGACCCGTGAGAACATTGATTGTCAATGTGGTTGGGCGAATATTGTTAACATATTATTAGAAAACTAACATCCAAAGGAAGATACAAGAAAGATATATTGAATTGTACAATCCGGGATTCAAGCCAGAAAAGCAACTGACTATTTAACAAATTATTATGAGAAGAAAGTGTCACTTAAAATAAACAAAACAAGTATGTAAAGTAAAAATAGAGCTCAGTAACCAAACTCGAATATTAAAAGACCTAATATTGATTAAGGCTTAAGACATAACTTCAACACTCACAAAATAATAAAATTTGACCCTAACCCTTCGTAAGTATCATAACAGGGATAATCCTTCACAAAGAGGGAAAATAATGACTCATAATCAAAACCCTCCGCATCAATATAATTGCATTCGCATAAATTCCACATCAACGGATCCCAAAAAGTAACACTCAACAATGAAACTCCATAAGAAAACCCAGTCCCTCCTTAAAAGTTATTGAAAAAAGAAATATCAAAATAACAAAAGATATTACCAACTGAAATTTATTGCTAATGAGATTTCTTGAAGTTAATGCTTTTAGTCTGGGAATTTTCCATGGTTATATGCAACCAAAATTTTGAATTCAATAGTCCATTAAAATGAACTTTAATTTATCAAGAAAAACAGGAAGAACAAGAGAAGAAATCTCCTTCATCTTTAGCTATCGGGAAGTGAAAAAGTCAAGCCAAATAGGACTAACTTGCTGCAACATTGATGAGCGCGTCGAAACGAATTTTCCGTCTACAACAAGCACAACCAACAGAAGAATCATAATCAGAGGAAGTTTGAAGCCATGGAAAGATTTAAACACCTAAAATTACCTGAAGTCACATGAAGCACTTGTGTTTCTCCTCCTCACTCATTATCACCAGTATTATCATCTTTACAATTACCACCAATTTAAAGAAAAAAAAAAGGTGGAAAAGTGAATGGAATAAGGCGACTAAAAAGCAAAAAATTAGGAAAACAGCGGTCGATCATAATTGACGAATAAGTCGCTATCAGATTAGGCGCACTCCATATTTCCTCCTCCCCATCGCCCTCCTTCCAAATAATCCATGTCCCGTTGCCAGTCCTTCTAATCTATCGATAATTAATGCTATTTGCCAGTAACTTTTTTTTATAAAAAAAATCAAAACCAATGACTGCAACATCAAAAAAGACTCAACTATAAAGAGAAAAAACATTCGAACCAGATCAAAGATGCGCGAAATCCCCAGAGAATCCCAAATCGTCCGGCGACTCCATCGTCTCTTCCTAATTTTGCCTCTGTTCTTGAACACAGCTCCTGTGCTGCTGCCTGGGTCCCCGCAAATCTCCAATTACTACTTCTCCTCCACCGCCGACAAGAATCTCATGATTGGATGAACATCAGCATAATCCACAAACTAAAACAAGGAAATCAGATGGACAGCATCAAAATTCATCCATCTCTCAGTAAAGTTGTCACCTAAACAAACAAATCCCAGAAAGAGAAAATCATGACCAAAATCCCACATGACGGGAGGAAATAAAGAAAAAGAAAAGCCCTCGTTTTGTTTCATATCAGATTGTACAACAATATTTATAACCCTCCTAATTAAAGCCCGGATTAATACAACGGTAAATTGAAAAAACCCAGTTCGCAAATTTGAGTAAAATCAGAAGGAAAGTAAACTAAATACACAACAGATCCCTCCATACTTTCCAAACCCTCGGCATAGTTAACAACGATGGTGGCTCAATTCGACCACCGCCAAATTGAGGCCAGTTTGGTGGGGGAAGAGACGCTGTTATTATCATAGTTTGGTGTGACGGCAGCATACAAAGTTCACTTTTGCATGATTGAATAAGTTGACAGAGAAGGATGGGTTCTATCATGCGAAGGAGATGGAAGCACAGGCACCAGAATTACAGAAGCAGGGCTGGCTTCGTCGATCAATGGAGAGAGAGCATAGTGTTTAGTTTTTATTATGGGTCGAACTGTTGAACGCCCTTATTTTTTCATTTGAGCGCCCGCAAAAGACCGAGACATCCCTGCAAAATGGAGGTAAATTTTTTTTTTTCGAAAAAGGGGGGCAAAGGAGAACCGCGCCCGCCACCCCCATAGGGGTGGCGTGCAAAAACTTGCCTAACCTTCGCCAACTGGCGCCACCTTTGTCCGGGTTGGCGAGCAAATGCTCGCCAACCCGATTGGTGGCGCCCAAA